TAAATACATTAATCAGATACTAACAGATCTAAAGGGACAAATAGACAACAATGCAATAATAGGAGGGGCCTTCAGTGCCCCACTTTGAACAATGGATAGATCATCCAGGTGGAAAATCATTAAGGAAACATTGAATTTGAACTGTACTTTAGATCAAATGGACCTAACAGACATATGAGACATTTCATCTGACAGCAGCAGGATACGCATTCTTCTCAAGTGTACATGAAACAGTCTCCAGGATAAAGACCATATGTTAGGTCAAAAAACAAGTCTTAGCAAATATAAAAGGCTGAAATTGTACCAAGTATCTTTTCTGACTAGAATGATATGAAACTAGAAATTGATAACAGGAGGAAAAGTGGAAAATTTGCAAATATGTGGAAATTAAGCAACACATTCCTAAACATCCAATGGATCAAAGAAGAAATCAAAAGGGAAATAAAAAAATCTTGAAACAAACAAAAATGAAAACACAACACAGCAAAACTTATGGGATACAGCAAAAGCAGTTCTAAGAGCGAAGTGTATAGTCTTAAATGCCTGCAATTAAAAAGAAAGATTTCAATAAACAACCTAATTTTATACCTTGAGGAACTCGATAAAGAACAAACTAAGCCCAAAGTTAGCAGAAGGAAGGAGATAACAAAGATTAGAGCAGAAATAAATGAAATGGAGAACAGAAAGACAATAGAAAAGATCAACAAAACTAAGAGCTGGTGTTTTGAAAGCTAAACAAAATTGACAAATTTTGTTAGACTAAGAAAAAAAGAGAGAAGTCTCAAATAAATAAAATTATAAACAAAAGAGGAGACGTTACAACTGATACCACAGAAATACAAAGGATCATGAGAGACTTCTATGAACAGTTATAAGCTAACAAATTGGACAACCTAGAAGAAGTGGATAAATTCCTAAAAACATACAACCTACCAAGACTGAATCATGAAGACACAGAAAATCTGGACAGACCAATAATGAGTAGAAGATTGAATCAGTGATCAAAAACCTCCCAACAAAGAAAAGCCAAGGATCAGGTGGCTTCACAGGTGAATTCTACCAAGCATTTAAAGAAGAGTTAATGCCAGTCCTCTCCAACTCTTCCAAAAACTTGAAGAGAAGCGAACATTCTGAAACTCATTTTACGAGGCCAGCATTCCATGACACCACAGCCAGGTAAGGACACTACAAGAAAAGAAAACTACAGGCCAGTATCCTCGATGAGTATAGATGCAAAAATCCTCGACAAAATATTAGCAAATCTAGTTCAACAATACATTAAAAGGCTCATACACCATGACCAAGTGAGATTTATCCCTGGGATGCAGGGATGGTTCAACATGTAAAATCAATAAACTTGATACATCTCATTAGCAGAATGAAAGATAAAAATCATATGATCATCTTAATAGATGCATAAAAAGCCTTTGACAAAATTCAACATCCTTTCATGAAAAAAACTCTTAACAAATTGGGTGTAGAAGGAACATGCATAAACGTAATAAAGGCCACACATGACATGCCCATAACTAACATCATACTCAATGGTCAAATATTGAAAGCTTTTCCTCTAAGATCAGGAATAAGACAAGAATGCTAGGAGCTCTAGCCAGAGCAATGAGGCAAGAAAAAAAAAAAAAAGAAATAAAAGCCAAAGCCATCAGAATTGGAAAGGAAGAAGTAAAATTGTTTGTTTGCTGGTGACACAATATTGTATATAGAAGGTCTGAAAGACTCCACCAAAATATTGCTAGAACTGGCAACAAATTCAGTAGTTTCAGGATATAAAATCAACATACAAAAATCAGTTGTGTTTCTATATGTTAACAATGAACTATCTGAAAACAAAATAAAACAATCTCATTTTCAATAGCATCTAAAATACTAGAATACTTAGGAATAAGTCTATCCAAGGAAGTGAAAGATCTATACACTGAAAACTATAAGACATTTATGAAAGAAATTGAAGATACAAATAAATGGAAAGATATATTATGTTCATGGGTCAGAGGAGGTAATATTGTTAAAATGTTCATGTTACTCAAAGCTATCTATAGATTCAATGCAATCCTTATCAAAATTCCAAGTTCCAATAGAAAAAACAATCCAAAAATTCTTATGGAACCATAAAAGACCTTGAAGAGCTACAGCAGTCTTAAGAAAGAACAGAGCTGGAGGCATCACACTTGCCAATTTCCAGCTGTATTACAAAGCTATAGTAATCGAAACAGTATGGTACTGACACGAAAACAGCCAGACCAGTGAAACAGAATTGAGGGCCCAGAAATAAACCCATGAATATATTTGGTCAACTTATATTTGACAAGGGAGCTAAGAATGTTCAACAGGAAAGGATAGTCTCTTCATTAAATGATGTTGAGAAAACTGGATATTCCTATGCAAAAGGATAAAATTGGAGCCATCCTACACCACTCACAAAAATTAACTTGAAATGGGTTACACTTGAACATAAGACCTGAAACTGTAAAAGTCCTAGAAGAAAACATAGGGGAAAGCTTTTTGGCGTTGGTCTTGGCAATGATTTTTTGGATATCACATCAAAAGCACAAGCAACAAAAGCAAAAATGGACAGGCGGGACTACACCAAACTAAAAAGCTTCCGCACAGCAAAAGAAATAATCAAAATGAAAAGGCAACCTATGGAATGGGAGAAAATGTTTGAAAACCGTGTATCAGATAAGGGATTAAAGCCAAAATGTGTAAGGAACTCATGCAACTCAACAGCAAAAAAAACAAAAACAAGAACAAATCACTATGATTAAAAAATCAGGAAAGAACCTAAATATTTTTCCAGAGAAGACACCAGAGGTACATGAAAAGATGCTCAACATCACTAATTATCAGGGAAATGCAAATGAAAACCACAATGAGATATCACCTCACATCTGTTAGAATAGCTATCATCAAAAAGATGAGAGAGAACAAGTGTTGGCAAGGATGTGGAGAAAAGGGAACCTTGCGCACTGTTGGTGCAGCCACTATGGACAACAGTATGGAGGTTCCTCAAAAAATAAAAAATAGAACCTACTGTTTGATCCAGCAATTCTACTTCCGGATCTATATTTGAAGGGAATGAAATTACTATCTTGAAGAGATATGTGTGCCCCCATGTTCACTGAAGCATTTTTCACACCAGACATGGAAGCAACCTAAATGTCCATCTATGGATGACAAATTGGTAAGGAAATGTGGTACATATGTACAATGGAATATTATTCAGACTTTATAAAGAAGGAACTCTTGCCATTTGTGACACTATGGATGAAACTGGAGGACATTCTGCTAAGTGAAATAAGCCAGACACAGAAAGACAAATACTGTATGATCTCACTTATATGTGGAATCTAAAATAGTCAAACGCACAGAAGCAGAGAGCAGACTGGTGGTTGCCCAGAGGCTGAGGGGAGGGGGAAATGGGAGGCGATGGTCAAAAGGGACAAAATTTTAGTTGTGTAAGATGAATAAGTTCTGGAGATCTATTGTACAGCATAGTAGCTAAAGCCAACAATACTGTATACTTAAAATTTCCTAAGTGGGTAGTGTTTTTACCACCAAAAAAATGATAATAAAGGAGGTGGGAGGAAACGTTGGGAGGTGATGGATATGTGTATGGCCTTGATGGTGGTGATCGTCTCATGAGTGTTTACTTACCCCAAACATATCAAGTTGTATAAATTAAACATGTACAGCTTTTTACATGTCAGTCATACCTCAATAAATTGGTTTAAAAGATAAGCAGACAAACCCTGAGTGGATCGTAAGTATATGATCTAAAGGAAATCTATCTGCAGGTTGGACACGGTAGGGGCTCCCAGTGTGAGACCATTAGTTTATGGATAATGGACCAAAAATTCAAAGGTGTGGGAGCTGGGCGGGACATGACAGCAGGTTAGCCAGGGGGAGGGCAGGGCCATCTGCCTGCAGGGGGCGGGGTGGCAGTTAGGGGTTGTCTGAGTCAGGCACTGAAGGAAGAATTTACTAGATGGCTGAGGTGGGGGCAGGAGCAGGGCCTCCTAAGCTGAGGGCCTGGTGGGTTCAGGAGCCAGGAGGCCAGTGCTCACTGGATTGGAAGGATGGGGCCGTCCCAGTGACTGGTATGAGGTGTGTGAGCTGGGGGCAGGAAGGGCAATGGCCAGCTGAGAGCCTTAACTGCCGGAGTACAGGGCAGCCCGAATCTCTACAGAGATGGGAGTCCAGCAGGGGCTTTGCAGCAAGCAGGGCTGTGACTGGACTGAGGGGAGGCAGTGGCGCAGTCCTGGAGAGGCTGCGCCTGGGACTGACATGGATGAAGGTGTAGACACTGGGGGCAGTGGGGACCATGGCCAGGCACAGAGGCACATGCTCCATCCATGGCATCCACTGCAGTGTGGTCAGAGCCTGTGTTTCCCAAGGAAAACTGGAATTCCATTTTTGAAACATGAAACCTCATCATTTTGAGCGTTGGGTTCAGAATTTTAAACATATCATGTGGGTCCAGCTGAACGTGTTTGTAAGCAGGTTCAGCCCCTGGCTGACAGTTTTGACCTTTCTTTTGGACTTTTGGCTTAGGGTGGGCTGCACTGGTCCATATTTGGTGCGTCTTAGTGTCCTCCCGGGGCCGCACAGGCCCGTCACTGTACTGGAATTCCTTCAGGCTGTCCTTGACAGTTGGTCTTACAAACTCAGGTGGGGAGACTTGGGGGTTGGGCTGGGCATGACCCAGGCAGAACCCCTTCCCCAGACAGGGCTCACCACTGTCCAGTGGCCCTGGCCTCAGCGACAGGACCTGGAGGTTCTAGGCAGATGGGGCCTCTAGGGCCAACTGTCCATGCCCTCCCCGGTCTGGGGTTCAAACCTAGCACCTCGCTGGGGGCTGGGCAGGGTCAGCAGGGCCCTGCTTAGCCAGGTGGGAGGCTCTGCGCTCTGGTCCCTGCTCACTGCTCTATCTCCTTGGGCTGCTGTGCGCTGGGAATTTGAACCATCTTCTCTTTGCTCTGCAGGCTGGCCTGATCCGTATGGAGGAGGAGGAGTTCTTCATTGAGCCCCTGGAGAAGGGGCTGGTGGCAAAGGAGGCTGAGCAGGGCCGCGTGCATGTGGTGTACCGCCGGCCACCCACCCCCAGGTCCCCTCCTCTGGGGGGGCCACAGGCCCTGGACACAGGTAAGGCTGCTGTAGGTGGGCGGGCTGCGTGGTGAGCCCTGGCTGTCCCCTGGGGGACCAGGCACCCCTTCTGCAGGCCTAGTCCCAGGCTGATGCTGAGCCCTGCCCTTGCTGACTGCACTACACGGTGGGGATACAGGGCTGCCGGGCTGAGGGCTTCTCTTCTGGTGCACATGGGCCACAAGCCTGCAGGTCCAGGGCCTGCATAGTGGGCAGTGAGGGCTGCCTGAGGGTCCACCTTCTGCTGCCTAAAGGCCAACAAGTGTCAGGGAGCAGGGTGGCCCAGACCAAGCCTGCACCCTAGCCTGAGACCCAGCCCCGTGTCTCTAGTCTGTGCTTCTGAAGAGGATGTCTGCTGCTTGCAGACAGTCTCTCTCCTCTGTCTCTGTGCTGCCTGCTTGCCCTGCAATGGTAACAGCCCTCCTTGGCTGCTCCCAGAGAAAGGTCCTGCCGGGAATGGAGGGAAGAGAGACCCCAGAGGTGCTCCTGGCAGCCTCGGCGCCCGCACACAGACTCATGTCACTTTGTCTTTTTCAGCTTAGAATCAGACTCTGATTCTGGGCCCAGCAGCGTGGAAGGCACTGCTGGGTGGGCATGGTGTCAGTCCTGGCTGCAGCCTCTCGGGGCCTCCAGGAGGCCAGGCCTACTCACAGCCCGCACCTCCCCAGCCTTCTTGAGATCTTGTGTCCCAGGTTGCAGCAAGGCCAGGTTGGGCTCTGACCGTGGTCCTAGCAAGTCTCACGGTCCCCAGGGCTCCAGGGTGTGGATGAGGCTGCCTTGATTGCACCTAACTCTTGCGGGGCAGCTTAGCCCTCACCCTCCTGTCCTAGACCCCTGGCTGCCAACAGCCCTGGCAGGGGGCCAGCAGGCAGGGAATGGAGGCCTGGTCTTGGGTCAGGCTCATCTGCATATCTACGGGGAGCCCCGGAGGCCCCCTGGGCCAGCCCAGCCATGCCGTGATTTGCTGAGACACTGCCATCACCCCAAGCAGCCCTGGCTCATTTATTTTAGGTCTCTGACTTCTCAGCTTGACAGATAAATTGGGTGCAGCCTGGCAGGGCACCATGCTAATTTCAAGGAGCAGTGTCAGATACCTTTGCAGAGGAATCATTCCATCAGGAGGCCTGTGCTCTCCAGAGCAGATCAATACTTCCGGCAGCCGCTTCTTCCCGGGTGATGGATCGTGTCGCCTGGGCTGCTGGCAGCCTCAGCCCCTCCCACCTCTTTCTCCACCTTGGGCTTCTCTGCAGTGGGAGGAATGCAGAGTGACCCCTTGGGTGGGGGCAGGAATGAAACTGGGCAGGGGAAGTGCCCCAGACCAGAGATCATGGCCCTGGCCTTGCTCCTTGCTGGCTGGCTGCCCTTTGGCAAGTTTGGGCCTCTGGCCTCTGCCTTCTCATCTGTCCAGTGGGGTTGTAAATGCCTGTGACTCAGAGAGCTGAGGACCTGCCACTTCGGGCTTTGGGCTGGTGCTTCTGGGCTGGCTGGAAGAGTCAGGATGGTCCCGAGGGCCCTGCTCAGGTGGAGTGAGATGGAGCCTGCACAGAGGGACTGCTGGTGCCCTGGGCTGTGTCTGCAGTCCCAGATTCCAGGTGGTGCCTGTCTCCTGAACATGGCAGCCCTTCCCCATGGCTGGCGGCCTTGCCTTATTTTCTGGGCTTCTGTTGGTCTTTTGGCATCTTCTCTCCAATCTACCCCCCATCCGCCATCCACGTATCTTCAGTGAGAGTCTGGAACTCAGAACGCAGGAAAGGAATGTCAAACTCAAAATAAGCCCAGAAGCCACTGGCCCTAGAAGATTCTGGGTAAGGTCAACTGGTGGGTCAGGGGCTGAGGCTGCCCTGGGGGTGGGGGAGGGGAGCCTGTCCTAGGCTGGGCCCTTGGCCTCGGCCCCAGCTGTGGGTGTGTAGGCTCCAGGCTGTGGGCTGTGGGTGGTGGGTCCAGCCACAGGCCCCGGGGTCTGGGGCCAAGTGCCCTTTCCCTGACCTTCCTGCCCAGTGTCAGCATGACCCTGTGTGGGTGATTGCTCTGCAGAGCACATTTCTCCCTGGATGCGCCTGAGTGTTCCCGCTCGGCCAGGGCTGAGGCCCAATCACTGGCTGGAGGGGGTCCAGACACGTTTTAAGCCCGGGCTGGGCTGAGGGCCCACAGTGACCTCAGATGGTCAGCTCTCCATCAGCCTGGGCTTGCCGGGCCCTCAGCGGTGGCTGGGAGGCGAGGACAAGCAGTGTCCTGGGCTGCATGTGTGTTTTCTTCTCTTTCCTGCAAGAGGACATGGGCCACTGGGCTCATAACCCCAGGACCTCTGTCAAAGGTTTTCAGAGTGTGTGTGTGTGTGCGGGTGTGTGCGTGCACGCAAGCCAGGGGACCTTTTCTTCTGGTGAGTTCTGATGGGAACCCTGGCGTATCAGTGTGCTCTGGCAGAAGCTGGCAGGAGGTTCTGACTGGAGGCTTCCTCCTGCTCCTGCACGGCAGCTTCCAGAAGTGGCTTTGAAGCCCCCTGGCCATTTGTTGATGGGCAGTGGATATGATGGGCCCTCTGAGGAAGGGCAGACATCTGTCCCAGGCTCCTGGTCTGGGAGATTGCCTAGGTGTGGGGGTGGCGGGGCGGTGCGCATCCCACGTGGCTCCTCTAGGGCATTGAGACCCATTGCCCTGTTTTCCCCCATCGGCCAACAGGCTTCTTGGTGTGTTCTCGGGGACTCACGGAGCCTCAGAGCATTGTTGTCACTAAGAGTCTCCATCATCTGAGGTCAGTTGCTGGATTGCAGGCTGCCCGGCAAAATGGTTGGAAGATGAAGGTTTTTGTGTGTGTTCTAGGACTCAGGCCAGGGTGTGTACACTGGGCGGCGTAGTGCATAACAGTGTCGCCCTCAGGCACTGGAGGAGGGTATGAGGGGGGGCAAGGGGTTGGGGGAGACAAGGGAGGACCTCTTCTCTCCTCACTGACCTTGCGGGTATTGCAGAAGCGTCTCTGCTGAGCTCTGCTGGGCCTGGGAGCCCTGCCGGTCGGAGGGCAGAGCTCCGAGGCTGGGGTGCCAGGGCAGCCATTTGAGGAGAGGCAGTTGGGGTGTCTCCAGGCCACCTCTGGGCTGGGCCTTTCCCTGGCACCCCTAGTCCCGTTCTCTGTCCTCCCCAGAGCCAGCCCTGCACCCAGGAGCAGTATGTTGAGGGTGCTGTGTGACGTTGGCCTCTCTGGTGTTTGCACACGTGTGTGTGCATGTCTGTGTTTGCACTTGTGTGCGTGCATGTGTGTTTGCACTTGTACACATATGTGGACAGGGCCTCACTGTGAGTTCTGGGCCTGTGCCTGAGCCCTGCCCTGGCTGCCATCTGTCAACCCTGTCTGGGGTTGTTGAGGAGGAGCCAGGGCCTGTGGGTGCACAATGAGGAGCCCTAGCCTGGCCGGAAGCCCTGCTCGGCGCTTGCCCTGGGTGATCCTGGCAGGTCACTCCTCGCTGAGTCTCAGGCTGCTACGACACGTTACCGCCAACCCGGTGGCTTAAAACAGGAGTTTGTTCCCTCCCACTTCTAGAGGGCAGAAGTCTGAGACCAGCATCACTGGGCTGAAGTCAAGGTGTCGGCAGGACTGTGCTCCTTCCTGGGCCTCGGGGCGGGGGCAGGGGATCCGTTCCTTGCCTCTCCCACTTCTGGTGGCTGCTGGCCTACTTTGGCGTGTCACCCCAGACTGCCTCTGTGCTCACATCGCCGCCTCCTCTTCTGTGTGGTTTAATCTTCCTTCCTCCCTCCTGTATGAGGATGCGTGTGGTCACATTTAGGGCCCGCCTTGATAATCCAGGGTGATCGCCCTTGTCTCAAAATCTGTAATCTAATCACGTCTGCACAATCCTTTTTTGCGTCTAAGGTAACATTCACAGGCCCCAGGTATCTTTAGGGCCATCAGTCAGCCTAAGCGGGAAGTGAACCAGCCCTCCTGGAGGAGGCGGGCCGTGTAGCGAGCGGGCGCCTGTCCGTGAGGAACACTGCTGCAGGCATCCCCCCCTCCTTGGGGGACGGGGCTCGGGCACAGCCAGGCAGGCCCCTTGCCTTTCTTCTGCCTCTGCTGGACTCCCGTCCAGTCTCAGCCAGACTGTGGGGCCTGGAGAGGCTGGGCCACACCGCGGCTGGGCTGACCCCAAGACTGTGTGCATGGAGAAGCCAGCCTTGCTCTTAGCACCAAGGGGGCCTGAAGTTGGGATTCTGAGCAGGTCCCCACAGGGTCCCCCTGGGCACGTGGTCTCTGTCAGGCACGCAGTGCCGTTTGCAGGAAGTCCTGGCCTGCCTAGACCAGGGCTGCAGACTCAGAGGCCTATGGACCTGGCAGGCAGGGCCAACGAGGATGGCGGCAGAGCGTGAGGGAGGATCACCCCACCCTTGGCCTGGCTTCCACTTCCCTGCTTTGATACAATCGTGGACGCAGAGCGGCCTTCTCAGCTAAAAGGAAAACCACGCAAGCACAGTGGCACGTAGCACCCAGCCCTGGCCTCATGGTGGGCAGAGGGCAGAGATGACTCCTTCACAAAGGGCAGCCCATCCTTGGCTCGCTCCCTTGACCCCCTGACTGCGACCTGGTCGGTGTGTGGGCCTGGGGCAGCCGTCCTCTTAACATCAATGGTCCTTAGAATAAGAACTTTGGTGTGAACTCTCCTGATTTTAAAATGCTCCTTCAAGTTTCTGAAAAGCACCAATGGGCCAAATAAAACAGGGCTCTCGTCGGCCCCCTGTGCTTATGAGATGCACAGGCGGAAGCGTCCTGGGCGCTCCTCACGGGCTGCTCCTGTGGGCGCCTGCAGCCCGGCGCGGCCCTGGATGGAGGGGCTGTGAGCTGCTGCGGGCCCAGACTCCGGCCGCGGCCTGTGGGGCTGCGCCTCACACGCGGCTCTGGCTGAAGGAAGAGCGGTTGGACGGCTCAGTGCCTGTGACCCAGCGGCCTCCTTCTTGGAAGCAGCTGGTGCCAAGCCTTGGGCGCTGTCAGGCCGCTCGTCCTCCCTGGCGGGCAG